AGATCGAAATTAGACATTCAGATCATATTGAGGATTTTTGATAAAGGTTTTTTTTTTTTTGATACGGAAACGTAGGTCGATATAGCCCAGTTTTAGTACCATCATCTTAATTCCAACAAGCAAGTGGACATACCTGAAAAGGCTCATACCAGTTCTCATATGCTCATATGTAATCAGAAGCAAGTAATTTTATTTGTATACCCCAAAACACTATGTGTTGGGGGTATTATAAATTTACTTGAGCCCAATATTATAATATACCTTGAAATATTGGTCCAAGACATATGAAACTATATATGGATATTCTTATCTCCCCGAGCTGATTCGTTCTAGCTATGTATGTCCGTCCGTCTATCCATGTTTATTTGTAATCACGCTTTGGGTCTCATTTATGGTCCGATCCTCACGAAATTTCGAATGGAGGCAGGATCGCAATATTGTCGCAAGAATATTGTTTTTGAAAATGATCGCAATATAGACAGGGGTTGTAATGGACCAAAAACAGAAAAATGCTAATTTTGTAGTTGCTCTACAGGCCACAATAATAACCAAAACTCCGAAAAACTGCTCAAAAAGTGAAACTCCCTCGAATTCGAGCGAGTGCGCTCCTGGAAGAAAAATTTTGAGCAAACTCATTTTTTCAATGTCATTCGAATACTGTGTGCATATTTTCATCGTTTTTGAGTGGAACAAAATCTGTTAAAAATCGAGCAGATCCAATCTGACCGAGCAAAGAGCTGTGCTTGTATGTGTGTGTATATTTTTGCAACTACCAGTTGCAAACTTAACAAAATACAACCAAATCAAACACGAGCATCGCTATGCATTCTGCTGTTTTTTCCTAGATTTTGTACACGATCAACCTGAACCCCTCCCTCTCTTTAAAGTTCAGTACTGGGTACTGGGTGAAAAATACCATAACTTTTTGTAACAAATACAAAAATTTCCATTATAACGCGAATATTTTTAATTCCAGCGAAATCACAAATTCAACAATAGGTCACATCTGACCGTCACATTGATGCTGATATCCAAGATATCGCATATATAGAAAAAAAGATATACAATCTCATATATCAAAGAAGGAGATGTGAATTAGACCGCTTTAAACACATAAATGGCTGGACGAATTTTAACAATTCTTTCCAATTCAAAATGACCTTTTGGCAGAGAAGAAAAAAATCTAGAAAAAAACTTGTCTACATTGACTAATGTACTAGAAATTTTTTATTAGGTTAGAGTCTAGGACAATGTTGAATCCTAGCATTTTGGATGGTGGTCGGATAATATTTAGCTGGTGAAATAAATCACAACGGAATTTAAAAAAAAAAACCAAAATTTCCGAAATTACAAATATATGAAAGGTGTACCTCTGACCTATACATTGATGTTGATCTCGTTGACGAATAGAGCCAACTATAGATACAGATACAGGAAATCGTATAGAGTGATATACAGGGTGAGATAAAAAAACTGCAACCAACTTCAGATTGCTGTCTTTTCTAAGCCACTCGTCCGACAGCCTGCTAAAATTATTTCAGTGACAGCTCGTTATATTGTTTACAAGCGTCCGAAATCATATTGTTGAGATATTTCTAGAAAAAAAGTTATTCCTGATGGAATTCAAGCATGATTTCTTTATATTTGGCTGGAAAACCACAAGTGGCTATCTTTAGAGCACCCCAGCATTTAAATGTGAATAAATCTCTTGTGTCTCGTACCATCGCTCGATACCGTGATACTGGTAGTAGTAGTCCGACGTCAAGGAAGTGGACGGAAGAAAACAGCAACATCAGCAGAAATAGTTCGAAAAGTGAAGAAGCGACTTGATCGAAACCCGCGTCGGAGTGGCCGAAAAATGGCTCGTGAGCTGAACATATCGTAATATTCCATTCGGCAAATATTGAAAAATGAGCTCGGGATAAAACCATTAAAATTACAAAAAAGTGCAAGAACTTACACCGCAACTGATAGAAAATAGACTCAACAGAGCTAAAAAGTTGATTCGCTTGACCGAAAGTTGTGAACTGCCGAATTTGGTTTTTCCGATGAGAAAACATTCGTTGTCCAGCAGTTTGTAAACAAACAAAATGATCGTGTTTACTTGCCAAAGAGGTCAGCTGAATATGTGCACCTTCGGTTGGCGATCTGACCTCATGCGTCGTCCAAGGTGATGGTGTGGGCCGCCATAACAGCCGATGGTCGCTCTCCGCTCCTATTAATCGACCGTGGTTTCAGAATAAAAGCGAAAATATTCTGGAGGGTGTATTAAAGCCTTGGGCACGCAAATATTTTGGCCGCAGACCTTTGACATTCCAACAGGACTCAGCACCATCGCACTCAGCACGCGCCGCCCAAGAATGATTACAAAATGAGGTTCCCCGCTTCATTTAAAGCGCACAATGGTAACCAACAAATCCGTTGGACTATTGTACCTGGAGTATTTTGGAAAGCAAGGTTGGCACTAAAAAATACCAAAGTGTCGATCACCTCAAGCAAGCGCTTTGCCAGGAATGGGCCAAAGAACCGCAAAGCAACATTCAGGCAGTGTGTGACGGTTTTATTGGCCATTTTGAAGGCCATAATTCGTGCCAAAGGTGACCAATTCGACCAAATCTAAACTTATTCTAAAATTTGATGATATTTTCGAAATTTTTTTGCCCTTTAACACGGCATAGGGTGTAAATATATATGACCACGTACTTTCGATCAAAAGCCAAGATTCAGCAGAACTATGTGATATATGGTCGGCCTCGACTATTGCTTTTGCTTACTTGTTATACCCTACAACACTATGTGTTGGGGTATTATAAGTTTGATTGGGTCAAAAATTATGTAACACCTCGAAATATTGGTTTCCCACATAGGAAAGTATATATGGATCTTCCTATCTCGCCGAGCTGAGTCGATCTAGCTATGTATGTCCGTCCGTGCGTGTGTCCGTCTATCCATGTTAATTTGTAATCACTCTACAGGTCGCAATTATGGCCCGATCCTCACGAAATTGAAGATGTAGGTGGAGTTTGGGTCAGAATAGAACCCTATTGCTTTTGGAGATTATCGCAGAATATTTAGGGGTTGAAATGTCATAAAAGTATAAAATCTAAAAAAAACGGATAAAAAGATGTCAATCATAAAGTTAATATAGGTTTTGTAGTATTTTTTTTTTTATTTTTTCATATTGTTTATCGCATGCGATTATTTCAATTTGACTTAATATTAAAGTGTACATTTTGTAATATTTTTCACCTTACAACACAGGTTGGGGTCGCGAAAATTTTCACAAGGGTAGGTTAAGGCTCAGAAGGGATAGACCTATTGGTTTTAAAGATGTCCGCAATATACTTTTTTTTTTTGGGTTGAAATGGACCAACAACTAAAAATGTACCTGACTTTGCAGCCGTTATAAAGGTCACAAATAGAAACCAAAGGACACGAAATCTCGCATGAAGTTCAAGATTAGTAGAATGGACCACTACTTTTGTGTGAAAAATACCAGCATTACTTAAAGGCGATATCCGAAATACACAAAAGGCGAACTTCTGCCTTTTTTGTGCTGATTTCGTTGACGAATCCAGCAAATATCGTAGACAAGCAAATCATATAGATGAGTCTAAATTTAGAGATACAGAGGTGTCTCTTGCTTTTGGAGATGACCCCAAAATATTTAGGGGTTCAAATGTACCAAAAACAGAAAAAAATTTTCTGATCACACAATTGAAGCCAATTGACACGCCTGAGAAGAGAGTTAAAGACAGGGAAGGATTCTGGCTTTTTTGATGGAAAATGGACCACTACAACAACAGCATGACGGAGTGCTTAAATATTGGGCAAATGTCCCTGGCCAGATCAGTGCTCCGTGACATAATTTCAAATGAGAAATCTTCCAAAATCGATCTGAATATAAGGGGGCTTCTAACATATTGTAGTGTTGTAGGGTATCAGTCGGCCCCGCACAACTATAGCCTTTGCTTACTTGTATTATATTAATAAAGATATTTTGTAGAGTAAAACATTTGTAATCCGACTGCTTACTAAAGTCGGAATAATTTACATTTTTTTTCTCCTGGACATAAACTTTCAGGTCAAAACATTGGGACATAGAAGAAAAATATCATATAAAAGTCTAGAGTATGGATTAATGTCATGGAAAATTGTAATGTGTCAGGATTATGGAAATGTCACGCACAAGGAATTTATTTAAAAACCATGTCTAGGAATTAAAGTTGTGGAAAAGGTATTATAAATTAGTTCGCTCCCGATTTTCGTTACTCCTTGAATTATGGATCATTGATCCATTAATTAGTATACCCCATTTTACTACCCACTACAACCAAAATTATATGTCTGATCAAATTTAAATATCAAACAACCATAACACCCATAGAACACACACTAACCTCTCTCACTGCGGTAGGGTATCAAATGGCTTGGTCTTTTGTCGTAATGCAGAGCTAGTTTTCTTTAAGTTCAACTCATCACTTAACTATTAGGCGTGTTGGATTTTATTTATTTATTTGTTTGTTTAGTGTTGCCTTTTTTTCATTTATTTTTGCTTTTTGTAAACAAAATCAGTAATATTTAGTTTTGTGAAGATTGCATATGTGTGTGTGTGTGTGTGTGTGTGTGTGTGCTTTAGCATCTTCGTTTGCGTTTCTTTTTTTATAACTGCAATATTTTCTTTGCATTTTTGCTGTGATTTTTGCCTTAGTTGCCGTCGTTTTATATGTGGGGTGTTTTTGTTGTTCTTAGCTTTGTCTTTGCTTTTGTTATCGTCGTTGTCGTCGTCTTCGTCGTCAACGTATGAGCATTTCGTTTTGTATTGCTTTTGCACGTTTGTCTGTCGTTGTGGGCCTTGCTTGCTGGCCCGCCGTCTGGCTGCCCTGTGTGCCTTTGTGTGTAATTTTTTCATTGGAGAGCAACAACAGCAGTGCTTACCTGGCTTGGATTTGGTTGCATCTTTAAGCCGTATAAATAGCGCTGGTAGCCGGCATTAGAAATCATAAAAAATTCTCTCGTTCAATTAACAACTTCTAAAGATCTCTGCAAGAAATTTGCAAAATTCTTGAAAGGATATCTTTAAAAAAAAATAATAATAAATAAAATACCAGTAACTGGCAACAAATAATTTAACTACAACAACACGTGTATTGTTTAGTTTAATTTTCTATTACAACAAACAAATATTAAATACAACAACAAAATGAAAATTGTAAGTGTGTGTATGTTTGTGAAGAAATATGTATGTTTGTGAAGAAATGTGTGTACTTTAAAATGGACTTAAAAGTATCAAAGGAATCAATATTCCGCATAGTAAGGACATTTTTATATTCCAAAAGTGTGTGTTTATAAAAAAACATTTGTTTTGAAATTAAGGTTTTTATTTTTTTTTATACCTACAAAGCTATTGCACTCTACAAGGTAATTGAAAAAAGTGCAATGGGTAGCGAGGGGTGCATACAAATTATCCAATTCCAATGATGCAACAGTACTCAACAATTGGACTTAATCTTGAGTCTCACCATTAGAAAGAAACTCAAGACAATCAAGATGGTCCTACTTTTGTGCAGCACAAATTGCCTTGGAACTGTACAGAGTTTGGAAATTATACAAGCAATAATTCAATTATTTTATATTCTAATTTTTTGATGTTCGTCCACATAACACTGAATCCTAAGGCGATCTATAAGCACCTCCATCTGGTGATAAAATATTTCCGTGATCTTTCATATTTTTTTGCAATGACTTGAAATTAGTCATTAAATGATAGAAATTGATTAAAATTCTTTGGTTACATAATTCAGATAGGAGAGCGGGGGATCCCCAAATTCAAAATCTTCTGCTCTCGAACTGTATATTATAGCATAAATCACCCATCTTATCATCTCAAACGGTATGTTAGGTTTCTAAAATTTTACAACCAGTTCTCATTGATCTTCAATATGGGGTAGGCCAAGAGTAAAGAAAATTTATATTTTGCGGTTTTTTTAATAATACATTCAACTTACAGGGGCTATATATCGTTTGTGCAAAATGTGCCTCATCGAAATAACAGTTTAAGACCCTAAGTCTCTTTGGACGAAATACGTCTCAGTACATTTGAATCAGTACATAATCATAAGGCTAGTGCCAAAATAGAAGCCTATTGTTTTTGGAGGTAGTCACAAATTTGTTTGGGCAAGAAATGAGCTAAAAACTGATCAATGGAATTTCGCATGAGGCTAGAGTTTTACATGGGCTACCATTTTGGCTGGTTATCGGATAATAACTAGTGGTTGAAAAATACCAACATTTTCATTCAATCCATTTTTATAACTGAAATTCGCTTCCCGTCGAAATCCTATATATCTAAAATGGGGAACTTCTGGACTTTACATTGATGCTGGTTTCATTGACGTATATAGTAGTTTAGAATGAAATAGATCATTAACCAACATCAAATATATGAATTGTTCTTCTTTTCGAAAATACCTTTTTCAGATCTGAGGCTTGTTCGCATGGAGTGAAGGAACCTTTGAAATATTTTTTTTTTAAATAGTCTAATAATGTTCTGATAATATGTGGGAATGGTTTAATCTTATAAAAGGGTCTATATCAAAGGAAGCGTTTACTCTATCTACAGGGTTCTAGGGTATCACATAGTAGGCTCCGCCAACAAATTTCACTGCAAAAACTAGAATTAAATTTTAAAAATTTAAAAGCAATGTAAACTTCTTAGAATATCCTCCAAAATGTATGTTTAATATCAACTCATTTGAGTTTCTTTTTTATAACGAATTTAAGAATAAAAAGAAATTTGAATATTTTTTTTTTTTTGAAATGCTGTTAAATTTAAAAAAAAAAAACTTAATTTACAAAAATAAAAAAAATTAAATAGTTGATATCCCATTATTTCTTATTAAGTATGCCTTGACAACAATGTTTCTCAGAAAGCTCTCAATTAAAGAATAGATTTCTTGAATAAAATTATACATCTTGCAGAATTTCAAAAAATCTAAAGATTTTGAAACGAAATAAGATTGCCGAAATTAGAACTCTCGACTAAATATTTAAAATTGTCTTATCGAATGATTTAATAATAATCACTTTTCAAAAAAATCTACAAGAAAATATATTTTTTCCAAGGATTTCCTTGCATTTTGACATTTTACGACAAAATAATAATAAACCATTTTAATAGACTACCCAGTTGAAAGGTCTTTAAGTTAATGTTTTTGTTTTTTTTTTTTTTTTTTGTGATGCCTTTGCTGACGCCCAAACACCAAAGCGTTTATTAACGGTGGCGTGTTAAACTCTTCAAAAGACAACAGCAAAAGACATTAACTTAAGTCTGACAGTAAACCTTTAAAACTGAAAAGAAAACCCCCAACAACCAACCACAACAAATGATAAAACTTGCCACAGATCATGTGTGCCACAAAGATTATGGATTTTTTTTTATGGCCAGCCACATAATTGGCAATTATTTTTTATTTCTGTTAATTTTATTTTATTTTAAGCAGATCGAATGGCCTTTTTGTCAACAAAACCACAAACATAGCCTTAACAGATAATGGGTCATGAGAGATGACAACAGTTTGTATTGGATTCATTGCGAAAGAAATGAAATATTGTGTCATTACTTAAAATGAGCAGTGTAAGGCATTAATAAATATATTTCGGTAAGAAAAATATCGAACCAAGAATTTACTCATTTGAATATCTCAAAGTTTAGTCGAGAACGACCACATTAGAAAAATTGCAAAAATATGGTACCTTTCACTTTAAAATGAAGACTTCTACAAGGATTGGCAAAAAGTTTTAGCGTCCTTCATCCCAAAAAGGAGGGTAATAGCTGGTAATTGTAAAAATGTGAGCAATTGTCATTACTTGCTTGGTTAAACCTAGTTCCAAATAATAAAAGCAAAACTTCGTTCCAATTCTTATCTGAAAATCATTTTTCAAATGCAGGAATCCAAAATATAATGGCTAATCTCTGTTAACAACATCTAATAACAACTACAACTCTAACGTATTTATTTTTTATTCTGCCAGTTTCGGCGTAACGCAAAACATTTTTATTTTCCTAAAAGTAGTTTCATTAACTACCTTCCTCACTTCAATTCAAGGCACATAGGTAATTCATCATTCCATCAAGTAAACAATGCAAAGGTCGTTTCATGCCACGTAACACAGATCTACGCCACAGAAAACAAAGCAATCTCACTTCATAGTCAGCCAACTGAACAGCATCCTCCCATCTTAAACAAAAGCTGTATGTGTGTGTGTGTGTTTAGATTAATTTTTAAAATTAAAAAAAAAATGCACAATTATTTGAGGAGCAAACGGAAAAGCAAACACAACACAAACTCATTGTTAACAAGATAATTACAGAATCATTGCAGAAAGTTAAAAACTATTTGCAATTTGCATATAAAACAAACAAACAATTTTCCAGCCATCCGTGTAAACATCAATCTCAATTAAATTTAGATAATGATAATTACAAAACAAAAACCAAATAATATACAATTAAGAATGAACAATGCTAATCTTATTTTGTTCGTTTTTTTTTTTTATTTTCTCATTACAGGAACTTTCCGTTTTTCTCATTGCCTGCACAGCATCTTTGGTTTTGGCTAGGCCACAAGATCCCATTGCAATTGTTAGTCAAGAATCAAATATTGAGCCAGATGGCTCTTATAATTATGCGTAAGTATTGCTTGGAGTTATACTAACTAAAAATAAAAATTTAAAGCATACTTTCAGGCGTCACATGAAAACCATACAAAAGACTTAAGACACAAACCTTTGCTTATGCAAGCTTAAATGAAACTTAACGAAACCAATTGTAAAACAAAAGACTTAAGACACAAACCTGAATTAAGAAAAGTATTGTTCTGTCCAAGAACCCGCCAGAATCTAATAGTTTTGCATTTTTTTCTTTGGATGATAAAATAATTGATATACGTCACTTAGAAACAAAGCTAGATATATTGGTCAATATTCGAGGAATGTTTTTGGATTAGAAAAAATTATATTTTTGGCATCAAATTCTGGATTCAAAAAATCTGATAGACAATACATTAATCGCAACCAATGTAGTTAATAATAAATCTAGAGGTCAGAGTACAATATTCATATAATTACAATTATTTCTGAAAAAATAAGATTTAGCTCTAAATATAAAAAGAGGAAAGATGGCGACATATATAAATCAGGAAACAACGGTTAGAAACACCAAAGGGACTACTTTTATATATAAACTGACTTTTATGTTTTCTTCATGAAAAATGAACTATGGGTTAGACTATAGAACAAAATTTCAGTATCCAATTCCCGCTGGGAATTCTAAGGAGATTCGTAGTCATGCGCCTCACTTTTCACCGAAAATGTTTCTAATCTCATATCTGAAGTTTCTAATGAATACTACATCCTATAACAGAAAACTAATCAAACAGGTCTTCGTATAGCCATAAAACAATACCTCCATATAACAGAACCTCCCTTATTCGGTATTTTGATGATTTTAGCGACATTATTCCCTGGAATTGTATCAAATTCCATATTTGAAATTCCTAATTGATACCGCAGCCCATGACATAAAATTGTATATCCAGGTCCTCGTATAGCCCCTATATAAAGGTATATTCGGCATTTTGATGATTTAGCGGCATTCTTCGGTGGAATTGAATCAAATTTCCCAAACGGTGAAGTGTATTCATAGTTCGGCGGAACTTTTTCACGTGTTTAGAACTTGGAACTGAAAGAAAATTGTGTTAAAATACAAAACTGTGATTGTTAACAATAATATTTTCAGAAAATTCTCTCTTACAATAAAATCTATATAATTTTTGAACCAGAATTTATTTTCAATTTGTCCGATACGTTTGATATAATTGTAAAATATTTTATTTCACATGGAAGAAAATATTTCGGATCTTAGAGAATAAGATTTTTTTCCAAGCCAAAATTATGTACAGTTTTTTAAAAGATATTTTATAATTAAAAAATATTTATAAAATAACCGGAAGTTTATCCTATACGTACTCTGAGCAGAAATTCAGAAAGAACATACCGGATAGGTTTAGGAAACCATATATTTCAAAGGGGCCAAAAAACGGGAATAAGAAAAGTTGAAAAGAATCATAGCTTTTAATAAGAAGTACCAAATTGCCATTCGATTGTGAATGTATTTGTTGCTGAAAGTCACTTTCCAGTGCAATCATCCAGATACAGGAAAAGTACTTCTTGCCTTTAAATTTATTCAAATGTCATTGTCAAATAGATTATATATTTTTATACCCTACTTTACGCTGTAGTACAGAGTATTATGTCTTTGAGCATTAGGAAAGTTTTTTTTATGATCTGCATAGAATCCCATACCATGACCGTCTTTCCATGTGCTTTGGAGTTAAATTACAGGTAGCTTTTACTGCCCGCTTGAGACAAAACGTTATACAGCTCATTTGTTTGACCCAAGCACGAACCCCATTGAAATTGGTGGTACTTTTTTTTAAAGAACAATATATCTTTATTTCCATTTATAATACCGTCAACATGACATAACATTTTTATACCGATCATAACTATTCAACAATACAATTTTTAAAATTCCTTCTTTTTATTTTCTTCTCCACTTTTAGTTATGAAACGGCCAACGGCATAAAGGGTGAAGAAACTGGCACCCTGAAAAAGGCTACATCTCCCGACACCAGCGATGTCATTATTGCCAAGGGTTCAGTTTCCTATACCTCGCCCGAAGGCAATCTCATCACCTTGAATTATGCTGCCGATGATGAAAATGGTTTCCAACCACAAGGTGATCATTTGCCCACTCCCCCACCAATCCCACCAGCAATCCAAAAGGCTTTGGACTACTTGTTGAGCTTGCCTCCCTCGAAACGTCGTTAAGGCACCCATGGAATTTGAAGCGCAAACTAATGAAATTAATGAAACCCAATTTATCAACAACAACAGAAACTAGAGCCTTTACAAAAGAAAAAATTAAAAAAAAAACGAAATCAAAAAAAGCAAAGAAGATCTAAAAACAATATCTGTCTCTCGAACATCCAGAGAAAACTCTTTTAAACATAAGTCACTCTTTGCAATTCCATTGCACAAAAGGGAAAGCAACACTCTACAACTCTATAGCTTACTATATCTATACAACACAAACATATATACATATTTCTCTTTCTTTTCTAAGATCATAAAAGTGAGTTCATTACAAACCAAAAAAAAAAAATATTAAAAATAAAATAAAATTAACTACACAACACTGACTGAATGAGCCATATAAAAAAAACCAAAATAAAATCAATGATTCTCACTTGCTCTCTTTTAAATAAAACAAACAACACCTTTTCATTTACTCTCACACCTAAACTTGTCACATTTAATTCTCTTTTGTGATATTCTCTCCACTAAGTCACCATGTTTCTAACCAAGCACTTGTTTATGCACAAAAGGCTCTCTTCGCCCCCATCTCTCTCTCCCTCTCTAAACTTCTTTCTCTGCTCTACAAAAAAAACAACATCAACATATTTTAATTTACAAAACGATGTCCTTGTCTTGTAATTAGTCGCCGGAACTTTGCCATTTCGGATACATGTGATATCACTGCTGCTGATTGTTTGATGGACAATGAGAAAGATTTTTTATTAATAATTATTATTATTTTTAAACAATCATGAAACGAGAAACATAAAAGAGAAACCACGAAATTATTTAACATTTTTATGCAGTCATAAACACACAATTCCATAACAGCAATGTATGTAAATGTACGTATGTAAATATTTACGAATACGAGAAACTTTTTGTAATGTTTTTTTTTATTATTTTTTAATCAATATTTTGTTTGTTTGTTAAATGTTTATAATTGTATAAATAAGTTGTAAGTATGCAAATAAAGAATAAATGATTCTTTACAAAAACTAATTTTAAGCTTTTTGATTTGTTGGGTTCGATTTGGAGTTCTAGAAAGTCAAGTTACTTTTGTTGGAACGAAGTCCTGTTGAATAAGGTCTAACAGGAGGCGTATTCAGGTCAAAGTATTATTTTGCCGTCAAAGGTTTTTCCGCCTGGAGTCCTTAAGAAACGAAAAAAAAAATACAAAAAAAAATACTGAAATCTAACATTTTTATTTTTATTAAAATTGAAATATTTTATGTTTAATTTAATAATTCTGAAACATCAAATACGAATACTAAGCATCGAATTTATTTTCCGCTAGTGTTTGAAATCTGAAATTTGGTATTGGGACGCTGTTCATGTGTAGCCTGGACATGTGAAGGTGGATTCGGAAATGTGTACTATAATTGTACGAAAAACACTGAATGGTACTATATTTGGTATTGGGTGAAGGAATAAATATACACTTCTGAAATTTGATATTTAGATTATGGATGGTATCTGTACTTAAGACTCGAATGCGTGCTATAATTGTAACAAGTACTAAATAGTACTAAATTTTGGTATTGGGTTAAGCTCTATCCCTTCACCAAATACCAAAACAACGTGACATTTAATATTGTCCTAATATGTATTATAAATGAACAGTATTATAAACAAACAGTACATTGTAGTACTAAATTTGGTAGAAAAAATTAGTTGAAGAGACAGAGATAAAATTCTGAAATTTGATATGTAGATACTGTTGGTATCTGGTACACAAATATTTAAATGCTACTATCCTTGGTATTGGGTAAAGGGATAGAGCTGAAATCCTCACATTATGGATGGTTTGGAAATGCGTACTATGAACATATGAAAAGTGCCACAAAATATGCCGTTGCTGTTGAGATAGAGACGGATTGCTAAAATTTAGGATCGAGGCCACAGTTGGTGTGTAGGGTGGAAAAAAGGAGGTGGGTTTGTATACGCGAACGAAGAGTATGTCCTTAGGATACAGCTAGAGTTCTTAAATTTAATATGGAAGCCACTGTTGGGATATAGTACTGAGAGAAGTTGTATTTGGAAATTCATACTATAATTGTTCGAAAAAGTATAGAGAGTGAATCCCGCAATTTGATTTCGAGGTCTCTGTTGGTATCTAAGGTTGGTTTTGCATATATGTAGTATAATTATTCAAATAGTTCAAAATGTTAATATTTTTGGATCACTGTTGGTGTCTAGAATAGAGAGAAGTAGATTGGTTTGGATATGCGTACTAAATGTTTAGTATTAAGTAAAGGAGTAGCAAAAGTTCTGAAATTTGATATTGAGGTCACTGCTGGTCCCTGGGGTTTCCATGGAGACGTTGAAATAGTTTTGGTTCATTGTGCAATGGTTTTAATGAATTTTGAAGACCTTTTGGCTTTTTTTTTCATCTAAAGGGTGTTTTTTTAAGTTAGATAGAACTTTAAATTGTAAAAAGTAACACAAAAAATTAAATTTTGATGAAACTTTTTTTATTTGTTTCAGTATACTCTGACAGATCATCATGAATAGACTCACGCTTGAACAACGCTACGAAATTATCCAAATTTACTTTGAAAATCAGGCTCTAGAGCAGTTGGCAAATGACCCGTTGTTTTATCGCAAAATTGTGTTCAGCGATGAGGCGCATTTTTGGCTTAACGAGTTTGTTAATAAGCAAAATTGACGCATATGGAGAGAGAGACCAATCCACAAGAGACCCTACAGACTCCTCTACATCCAGAAAAAAACACCGTATGGTGCGGTTTTCACGCTAGTGGCGTCATCGGACCTTATTTCTTCAAAAATGAGGCCGGAGCTCGCGTTACGGTCAATGGAGATCGTTACCGCACCATGATCAATAATTTTTTGTTTAAAAATATGGATGACATTGATCCGGTGGAGATGTGGTTTCAACAGGATGGCGCTACGTGCCATACGGCGAACGCAACCATGGACTTATTGAAGTCAAAATTTGGCGATAAGTTGATTTCGAGAAGTGGACCTGTCAATTGGCCTCCAACATCGTGCGATTTGACACCTCTCGATTATTTCCTGTGGGGCTACGTGAAGTCACTGGTTTATGCTGATATACCAGCAACAATTGACGCCTTGGAGGCCAGCATTGTTCGTGTTATTCGTGACATACGGCCAGCAGTGCTCGAAAAAGTGGCAAAAAATTGGACGTCCAGAATGCACTTCGTCGAGAACAGCCGCGGTGCCCATATGCCCGAAATCATTTCAAATGTTAATGTCACGTATTGATCTTTCGAATAAAAAAAAATTGATTAAAATTTAAATTTTTGTATTAGTTTTTACAATTTCAAGTTCTATCGGGCTTAAAAAAACACCCTATACATCTATAAAAGATTGATTTGTTTGTTTGTAATTTATGGACTCGAAAACCTCTGAACAGATTTTACTGAAAAATTCCAAGTATACTGTAACATCGCCTGAAAGTAACATAGGCTATATACATTTTTGAAATTTCATTTGTAACTGGAGATATAGCATCGGAATCGGAGGTACCTCCAAAAAATCTTGATTTTATATGCACATATTTATTGATCTATTACAGATACAGTTTCCAAATTTAGAATGTGTTACGAAATTTGGAACATAAACAAATTTGCAAAATTATACTAAATTGTGTTTAGATTTGTATATAGCTCCCATATACATATTCGGCCGATTTCATTTTTTTTGCTGTACCAAACTGGCTATGTATCTCTAATTTTAATGAATTTTGGAATGTTTAACGGAATTTGGAACAGAAATAAATTTGCCAAATTATATTGAAGGCAGTTTAGATTTGGATATAGCTCCCATATATATTTTCGGTCAATTTCATCTATTTAATGTACCGAACACGTTATATTTATAGAATTTCAATGAAATCAGGAAATTTTAAATGCATATGACAGCTAGCAATACAAGGTAAGATAAAAAACTGCAACAAAGTCAAATGCCATAATTTTTACATTTTTTCCAAATTTTATTGAATGAAAGCAAAAAATGTCGGAATTAGCATCAAATTTTAGAATAAGTTTAGATTTTTTTCGAATTGGTCACATTTGGCACGAATTATGGCCTTCAAACGGCCAATGAAAGCGTCACACGCTGCCAGAATGTCGATCTGCGGTATATTGGCCCATTCTCAGCGAAGCGCTTGTTTGAGGTGGTCGACACTTTGGTATTTTTTAGTGCCAATCTTGCTCTCCAAAATACTCCAGACACAATAGTCCAACGGATAGATATCCGGAGATTTTGGTGGCCATTGTGTGCTAGAAATGAAGCGACCAACAAATTTTGGGTGGAACGTGCTGAGTGAGATGGTGCTGAGTCCTGTTGAAATGCCCAAGGGGAGCGGCCAAAATGTTTGCATACCCAAAGCTTTAATACACCCTCCATAATATTTTCGCGATAATATTCGCCATTTATTCTGTTGTCACTGGAGGTTAATACGACCGGAGAGCGACCATCTGCTGATATGGCGGCCCACACCATCACCATGGCCGGCGCTTAAGGTCTGGTGGCCAACCGATAGTGCACATTTTCAGCTGACCTCTTTGACAAGTAAACACTACCATTTTGTTTGTTTACAAACTGCTGGACAACCAATGTTTTCTCATCGAAGAAAACCAAATTCGGCAGTTCACCACTTTCGGCCAAGCAAAGCAACTCTTTAGCTCTTTTGAGTCTATTTTCATTCTGTTGCGGTGTAAGTTCTTGGACTTTTTGGAATTGCAATGGCTTAACTCCGAGCTCATTTTTTTAAAATTTGCTGAATGGAATATTGCGATATGTTCAGCTCACGAGCCATTTTTGGTCCACTGCGACGCTGGTTTCGATCAAGTCGCTTCTTTCCTTTTCGAACCATTTCTGCTGATGTTCGTGTTTTCTTCCGTCCACTTCCTTGACGTTGGGCTGCGCTACCAGTATCACGGTAACGAGCGATGGTACGAGACACAAAAGATTTATTCACATTTAATTGCTGGAGTGTTCTACCGATAGCCACTTGTGGTTTTCCAGCCAAATATAAAGAAATCACAGTAACACGCTTAAATTCTTTCACGAATAACTTTTTTCTGGAGAATTCTTACCAAAATGCCTTTGTACGCTTGTAAACAATATAATGAGCTGTCACTGGAATAATTTTAACAGCTGTCGGACGAGTGGCTAAGAAATGACAGCAGTCTGAAGTTGGTTGAAATTTTTTCATCTTACCCTGTATATCTAAATGTTGATAGAAATTTTAATAAATTCGATAGACAAAGATGCCCAAGTCGACAATGTTACGCCACATTAGTAAGAACCCATTGCGAGTTTCAAACAAATCGTATAAAAAAAATGGCTAAAATAATTAAAATACCCAATTTCGGGGGCTGTACGAAAACGTGGACCGGTAATGCCAACCATTGTTCATTTTTTCCTAATTTTAAAAATATGATAAAACAATTTGAAAATCTATCATAACCATTTGTTCAATTTTTTCGAAGTTAAATTACGTTTCTAGCTGTGCGTGTAGTATTGAGATTTCCAGTACAATGATGTCTTTGGTCCCTCTGCTATCAATCCTTGCTTTAAAATATCCATTGTGACAATTATAAAACAACCCGAGAGATAAACGACGTGTGTCATTCAAATTAAATGGCTCTTTTAATCATTTGATATTTCCCCTCCATAGAAGCGAAAATATATAACCCCCAAAAACCGTTTTCAGCTCCGGTTTAACTAGTCATGTTTGTGATTTGTTTTGTTCACTCCATCGATTTCAAGATAATGCCACAGAAACAAATTTGAAATACCTTCGTATTCGGTATTCGAAATTTATTTGTTTTGTTTGGCATAATTTGTTGATTTCGTATTCAGTTTTATCGCTTCTTGATAAATGACGACAGATCTGTTCCGGTGTGGGGGTGAACTTATGGACAGGTTGCGAACAGGTCTGCATAAGAACATATATATATATATATATATTAATATTGGCAATTTCTATAATTATAAGATTGACAAATAGG